CTGTACCTCTGCACTCTATCATGAGGAGAGTCATGACAAACTTTAGGAAAAATGTCATTAAATTTTTCATTTGAGTCTACTTGAGGCATTCATTACTTGTTCTTTACGAGCACAGTTCTCCTTGGTCGTAGGAGGACCGAGTATTGATCTCAGTGCGGGGACACCCTTTAACTGTTTGTGCTTTCATCTCAGAACACATAAAACCTACAGACATGATAGTCGTACCATTGTGAAGGGAAGACGCTGATCTAAATTATCGCAATGAACTTTTTTTTAGTTTATTTGATGGTATAATTTTGAGCGCTCTTAACATATCTTGTGAGTTTTCATTTTAAGTCCCTGACCGCAGCTTATTTGAGTACATTGTAAAACGTAGCGTTCAGCAACGCAAATTCATCATGCATGCATGTTTAAACTTTGCGCTTGCCTTAGAGAAATGTGAAAAAAAAGTTACGTTCATAGTAGTAAATTTAGAATGAGGTTATGAACGTAAGTTTGTGAATGAGACTTATCAAGTTTGCTTTCTTCCGCATCTACGCATAGACAGAGGTGTCTCTATGACACTATATTGACAAATCTAAATTTACGAATACGAACTAGATTAAAAAGAAAATAAGAACAGCAGTTTCTTACCTGCGTAAAGTCACAAACAACCAAACTCCAAACGAACTCTTTCCGTAAACAACTAACAGTGTTGCACGTGGTTGCACGTAGTAGTCTCGTTGCAGGGTTGGCGTTGGCGGGAGTACGGGGACGGGGTATCGCCGCTCAGGCGCTGAGGGTAGGCCACCATCTCCACACAGACACTTGGCGGGCGTGCCTACCCGACGCGCCGCAGGCGTTGTCATTCGCCTTAGGTTTGTAAAGTGCATAGCAATTATCAGCTATGTGCTGCAACTGGAGCAAATTGTAGTTGATCTACGGAAAACCGCACCAATTGGTAAGAAATTGAAAGTGCCCATGTAGGAAGCTATATATGTGCACATTAAATGCGCATTATATTTCCCCATTAAGTGAGTCAAACATTTGTACCTTTGAGGTGCATTTTGATGCGCATTGGCTACGAGCATCCAATGCGCAAATTCCAAGCGAGAAACCAGGTGAGTTTCGATCCTTATTTTTCGGTTGACCATGTAATTGCTCTGATTGAGACTGATATTCTGTGTTGTCATAAATGAGGGGAAATCAACTTTATAGTAGAAACTACTAGTAACAAATGGCTGATTTTCTTTTTAATTTATGGCAGGAAACGATTTGACACAATATAGGCACATGCGACATATTGTGAGCAATAAGCAGTTCTTCAATCCCACAGACCTGTAGTATTCATATAGGTATGCTATAGTTTTGTAGATAGTTTGAGAAAAGAAGAACTGCTTGTTTATTGATACCATAACAACTAACAAAAGAACAGGGATATTTATTACACATTTGTAACAGTCGCACATGATGAGCGCATTTTATCACAACATTTAAAATCGGCATATTTATACTTTCTAAATAAAGTCTATAAAACATAAAACAGTCTTTACGGGATTAAACTATACATATTCACAAGAGATTTGTCTTATAAGGAGCAGCACAATTCTTGACTCAATTCACAAAGAGGGATCAAGAACATAATATCCTTAGTTAAAAGAACCAGACGCACCTTGCCCCATGGCAAAAGCAATGAGCCAAAAGCACACACAATTTGAGCAAAAATACTAAGTTTCTGTAAGGTCTATGAGCAAGTTTTGCAACTATTCAATACTTTTCAAGGTGCCAACATCAGAGCCATTTGGCAACATAATCAGACCTTACTTGTTTTATAAAATGTATGGCAGTTTGTATTAAGACTGTTCAGTCAAATGACGCAAACATATGCATGTAGTAATGGGGAAATTATTGTTAATCCTTTTAGTTCCTTTCATCAAGAGTTTCAACAAGTGCTTCAAACGTAAGACAATTCTGGCATGTTCGAAGCAGTTTCCTGAATATCAGGTAAGGCAATCAATCACACAAAGTCAATTGCTATCACAAAAAATTACAGCGCACCACTTTGCTTTGTGCACGAAACTCCCGCAGGACCCGCAGCCGTCTAAGTCTCAGAAAGCCAAGAGACTCTCTTTTCAAGGCAACATAGAGGGCAACATGCTCACAGGGACGAAACACATGCCCAAATCACTTGGGACACTTCTACCATCACGGCGGCTCCGTGGGACTTGTTTTGTTCCACGGGCAGGCCAGGGCGCGCGGCTGGCGCGGCTACACGGCGATGGAGTAGTCCGAGTGCTGGGGCGCCAGGGGCGCGCCGGGGGTGCTGGGCCGGGGGGTGCGCGACCACAGGCTGGAGCGGAGGCCCAGCTTGAGCTTCTTCACCGTGTCCATGTCGCACTCGGCCTCGCTCAGCTCGTGCGGCGGGACGCGCCTCGCCGTGGACGTGGAGGGCAGGCCGGCGGGGAGCGGCGCGGGCCGGGGCCGGTCGTCGGCGGCCCCGAGCGGCAGGCGCAGCCCCCCGGGCGGCGGCGGCACGCCGGGGGGCAGCCCGGGCGGCAGCCACTTGCTGCAACAAGGGCGGCACGTCAGCGTCAGCACCCGGGGCGGAGTGCCGGGCGGCTGCAGGTGCCAGGTGTTTCGGGGCGGACACTGCACAGTGTTGCGGGTGTGCACACTCGCTGGAGCCGCACGGGCCATGGCGCCTTACGGGCGGAGGGAGTAGGCACACCCACAACACTGCGGTGCCCGCTCTGAAACACTCGGCACGAGAGAGAGGTTTGTACGGAGTGAAAGAAAGTAAGATCTAGAGCGCGCGCTTTCGTCATTCGGCAGGTCTAGCGACAGGCCCAGCTACGGCCTCACGCGACTAGCATGGGGGTGAGCCAGCCATGCGATCAAGAGCGGTAGAGCGGGCTGCGGGCAGGGCGGGCCGGGGGCCAGCAAGCTTAGCGCAGACAGGCGAGGCGCAAGCGAAGGCAGTTCAGTAAGTCACTCGCAGGCCTGAAAGCATGCCCAGCTGCGGTCCCAGAACGCAACGCACCCGACAAAAACTATGTCTCTGGGGGTTTGAACACCCGCAACGACTTTTTGCACGTGTGCCAAAAAAGTATCGCTGGGCGTCGTCTGGCCGGGGCTGGCCTAGCTCGACCCTGCCGCAGCTGGAGATGCCCGGCAGGCTGCTTCTCGCCCGGTGTCTGTATGAGGCTTGCCTGCTAGAAGGCCTCGTTGGGGCCCCGCCGGCCCGGGCGGTCCCGCGGCTCCGCGCTGGGCCTGCTGGCCGGCCTGCTGGCCTCCACCACGACCACGGCACGGCCCCCAGCACCTCACCTGTGTCGGCCTCGTCTGGGAAGTGACTTCTGCTCCGACATCGGGGATATGTCGGACGACGTGCTGGACTGGGCCCCGTGGTAGATGAAGTCTGTGTGGAGAAAGAGAGTTAAAATACTTGTGAAAAGGAAACCAAAAATCACGATCATGTTTTACTTTTCATATTTTGATCTTTGTTTACAAATTTCTTTTGCGTCCTATTTTAAGTATACTCACTGTACTGGCTGTGCTTGAGGCCGCGGGCGCCCAGCCCCGCTCCGAGACCCCCGTGCCCCCCGTGAACCCCCGGCCCCGTGTCCAGCTGGTTGGAGCTCTCCGTCCGACTCGACGTCAGGGGGTCCCCGTCGGAGTCGGACTCGTCCGAGTCCTGGCCGCAAGCGCGCGACTTGTGGCTGCTGCGCCTGCTGCGCCTGCCCTTCGGGCCCTGGGGGTGGAAGAACAAAGCATGGGGCGTGAGTCTCGGTGCCTCAGGTACTTCGCTACAAGCGTTCTTGTTACTTCTGCACTGGAAATGCAAGTGTGTGAATGTCGCTCACCTGCAGGTGAGCGACATTCCATTCGTACACTTAGGGGGGAGGGGTAAACGTGTGAATTTTCTAGGAAAAATTCACACCTTTACCCCCCTAAGTGTACGAATGGAATGTCGCTCACTTGAAGGTGAGCGACATTCACACACTTGCATTTCCAGTGTGATTAAAAAAAATGATTTCCTTTGTTATTTTCTTCAATTTATTTTAGATTGTTCTGTTTTTTCTGATTTTTTGGAGGGTAAACACTGGTTTCTTTGAATGAAATAGCCCCTCTCGTGCTCTGAAACGTGCACCGGGACTTGCACCAGGACGTGCGCGCACGCGGCACTCACCAAGGGCGGCGGGGACGCGGCCTCCGTCATGGCCTGCTCGTGGTACATGAAGCTGTGGAGCAGCGTGTTCTGCGGCGCCGCGTCCGACAGCTGGAACGTGGCGTAGGGCGAGATGTCCTCTGAGGTCTCTGCGCAAGACATACAACAAAAAGGGGAGAAATTAGAGCAAATCAAGGGAGAAACGTCGAGCAGTGCGGATATTGTTGCTGGTGGTTGAACAGTGCGTTACCCGGTATCTTATCCCCGCTCTGCGCCATCTTCCGCAGGGTGGCGTAGTAGCGCTCGCGCTGTGCCGCCGCGTCCACCGCCGCGTCCAGGGTCTGCTTGACGGGCCGGGCTTGCTCTGGGGACATGAGGAGAGCACTAGCTAAACCAGTTTCAACTCAAATACATGTTCTTTGTAGTTAACGTATTCGTCGTTGTGCCTTGAAGCTACAGTATTCAAAACGGATGACAACAACTTGTCTCTCGGCACAACCAAGGCAAACCAAGGCAGGAACAAGTAATTATGGCCCCCATTTGTTGTGCACTCTAAACTTTCCACGTTTTACACACGTTTTCGTGCACAACCAGACCAGATGCATTGGTTCATAAGACTGGACAAGTGGTGTAATGCATAACTCACTGGTCCTCCAGCACAGTGCGACGGCCACGCACACGGCGGCCATGGCGACGGCGGCGCCGGCCAGCGGCAGCACCACGCGCATGTCCATGTAGAAGGGCTGCAGCACCCCGCCGCGGTGCACCAGCTCCGGGGGCGGCGCCTCTGCAAGCACACCGGAAAAGGGGTCACCGTCGAGGGGTACTTCACTCAAAACAAATCAGTGTACACCATTTTTTCAAAAATATAAGAAAACATAGGAAAAAGTCAAGAAAAAATCAGTTTGAAAGACAAAAGAAAATCAAAGAAAGGAAATTTTAAAAATCAAGAAAAATTGGGTGCACGCTTGAATTTGTCGTTCGTCATGGGCAGGTCGGGCAAGCCCCGCTTACCTCCGTCCTTGGTGAGGGTGAAGAAGGTGTACTCCTCGGTGGACGAGCCCGCTATGTTGTTGGCCTCGACCTGCAGCTGATAGCCGGACGCCGGGGTCAGGCCGTTGATGCTGAACCGGCGCTGGGGCTTCAGGGAGTTGGAGACTGTGGACGGACGCACAACGAGGCGAGTTAGAGGAGGAGGGGGAAGAGGCAGAGACAAAACACACGGAATGCCCCAGCAACCCCAGCGTACGCTTACGCACCTAGTGTCCACTGCGCGTCGCTCACGGCCCTGTACCGCACGACGAAGTACAGCAGCGGGCAGCCGTTGTCGGGCCAGGCGGCGAGGCGCAGCTGCAGGGACGCGGGCCCGGGGCTGAGCAGCGCGGCGGGGGACGGCCGCCCCGGGGCCTGGCCCTGCGTGCGCACCGACAGCATCGACGACTTGGGCGAGGAGCCCACCTGGTTGTGCGCCACCAGCTGCAGGTGGTAGGTCGTGCCGCACTGCAGGCCCTTGAGCTCGTGCGACAGGGAGCGGCGCGGCAGGTCCAGCCTGTTCGGGTCGCCGTGCTGCCGCCGGTAGTGCAGCGTGAAGCCCGAGATGGCGGCGCCGCCCGAGTCGCCCGCCTTCCAGTTCAGCAGGACGCTGGAGCTCGTCGAGGTCGCGATCAGCAGCTGCGGCGCGCTGGGGGGCACTGCGGGACAAGAGATCAGAGATCACCCAAAAAGTTCGCCCTTCATTTGCCGCTGCGAAACTACCAAAGTTCAGCCAATGCAAGTTCTGGGAGCGCCTGGTAGGTAGGCAACATTTTCCTGCAGCGCATGCGTGTACTGCAGCGTGGGCTACTCTGAGTATCGGAGGCGAAGAGCTCCCGTAATTTACCGAATGAATCTGAGTAAAAGCGGACGTACTTTCTGGATGACGCCCATAGTCGAGCCCATAGTCGTCGGTTCACCCGCACTCCGCCTCACCGAAATGCCACCCACCTTGCACGATCAGGGTGTACGTGATGGAGTCGGAGCCGTAGGCGTTCTCCGCCGTGCAGGTGTAGTTGCCGGCGTGCTCCTTGGCCAGCCCGGTGATCATGACCTCCCCCGAGTCCAGCACCTGGCCGCGGTGCGGCCGCCACGACACCCGCGGCTCCGGCTGGCCGACGGCGCGGCAGGCCAGCGCCACGGAGCTGCGCCACGGCCGCGACACGACGGTCCCGATGGATGCCACCCTCGCGCCCGCTGCGGATCGCGAGCCGGGTTAAGTACATCAGGGACAGTCATGCGTCAAAGCAAAATCAAAGCAAAAAGGCAAAGGGCAAGGGCGGCACGAACCTCTTGCAGTGGGCACCTGGGACACGGGGTGCGAGCTCTGACCCTCGCCGACGCGCGTGGACGCCGTCACCCAGAACTGGTACTCGACGTGCTGCTGCAGCCCCTTGACCTCGTGGCTCGTCTGCGACGCGCTCAGGGTCTGCTTCTCGTGCTTGAGCTCCTCGCGGCCCGGGCCCGCCACCATGCGGCTGTAGACGGTGTACTTGGTGATGGCGCCGTTGGGCTCCGCGGGCGGCAGCCAGGTCAGCAGCAGGGACTGCGGCCCGCTCACCACCACCTTGATGTCGCTCGGCGGGCCGGGAGCTGGGCAAGGACAAGTGCATCATGAGACCTCGCGGCGGCCCTGCCGTCGACCCTGTCGTCGACCCTGCCGTCGACCCTGCCGTCGACCCTGCCGTCGACCCTGCCTCGTCGGTCCTTACCATCCTCATCGGTGGAGCAGAAGACGGGGCGCGAGGCCACGCCCTCGCCCTTCCTGGTGTAGGCCCGCACCGTCACGCTGTGGTTGGTGGCCTTGCGCAGGTCGAGCAGCACGGTCAGCAGCGCCGTGGTCTTGGCCGTGTCCTGGGCGTCCGGGTGCCGCTGGTCCGGCAGGACGGACTCGTAGTGCACGGTGTAGCCCTGGAGCACGCCGTTGACCTGGGCGCTGGGCGGCGGCTGCCACGACACCTGCAGCGACTGGGAGGTGAGCGAGCTGCAGCGGACCTCTTCCGGCGGCGAGCTGGGCACTGCAAGCGAGGGAGGGGGCGGGCGGATGAGCGTCGTGGTATAGCGTGGGGTCAACTCGTACTCCAGGGCGGCGCCCCTGCTCACCGTCCTCCAGGGTGCTGACGCTGATGGAGTCGCTCATGGGCCCGGCGCCCACCACGTTGACGGCCTGCACCACGATGGAGTAGCGCGTGAACTTGAGCAGGCCCGTGAGGGTCAGCTCGCCGTCGTCGTCCGTGTCTCCGGACATGGCGGGCACGGATGTCATGTTGTAGGACGTCTGGCCGCTGAGGAAAGAGAGTTATAGACACATCGCCCTCGACAATCGTCCAAATGAAATCAACATCATCGGTGTCGTGAAAAGGTTTGGGAACAACCTCAACAGAAACACCGCTGCCTACCCCTCCTCCTTGAAGCCCACGTTGTACGAGGTGACGTCTCCGTGGCGCAGCTCGGGCGCCGGGGCGGACCAGGTGAGCAGCACGGTGGTGGAGGACACTGCGCGCGCCGTGACCCCGAGCGGCGCCCCCGCGGGCCGCTGGGGCTCGGTCCGCAGCGTCAGCTCGGCGGAGGGCTCGGACCTGCCCGCCGCGCCCTCGGCCACCACGCGGACGGCGTAGCGGGTGGCGGGCCGCAGGTCCGAGATGACGGCGGCGTGCTGGCCGCGGACGTCCAGCCGCTGCCACTGCGCGGCCGCCCCGGCGCCCTGCTGCTGCTGGCGGTACTCCACGATGAAGCGGAGGCTCTCCATGTCCTGGCCCGGCGCGCCCGAGTGCTGCCACTGCAGGTTGATGGACTGGCTCGACACCAGCGCCGCCTGCAGGCCCACGGGCTTGGGCGGCGGCTCTGACGGACAGGGAGACGGCGTCGTTGACGTCAGCGAGTCCCCCTCTACGAACTCACAACGGTCGCGAAACAACTGCGCTCACCTTGCACCTGCAGCTGCACCAGCTGCTTGTCGACGCCGAATTGGTTCTTGGCCTGGCAGTGGTACGCGCCCGAGTCGCCCGACTCGGAGGAGGCCAGCTGCAGCTCAGCCGACAGCCCGTCCCGCCGCGGGTCCTCCTTGACGCTGACGCGGTAGTTGGTGGCCGGTGTGAGCTCCATGCCCCCGTGCAGCCAGACCACGCTGATGGGCCGGTCGCCGCTGATGTCGCACTGCAGCACCGCCGTCTCGCCCTTCTTGACGGAGACCATCCGGGACGGCGCGGCGAAGTAGGGCCGGGCTACGCGGAGCAGGAGAAAGAGGAGGAGGATCATGAAAAGAAAATGTTTCAAACACTACCGCAAATTTTCCGGAAAATATTAGAAACTTTTGCGCGTCCTGCCAGGTACTCACAGTTGACCTTGAGCTGCACCACCTTGCCGAGGGGGCTGCCGATGGAGTTGTTGGCCTGGCACAGGTAGAAGCCCTCGGCGTCCTCGCCCACGGCCTGCATCACCAGGGTGCCGTTCGTGAGCACGCGGAAGGCCGGGGGACGCTCGCGGAACTCGCGCAGCTCGCGGTACTCGCCGTTCCGTCCGCCTGATGGCAGACAGGAACAATCAAAGAAAAGGGATGGAGATTAGAAACTCGGAAAAAATCCACAGATGTCAAGAAAATGCAGAAAAAGAAAGATCGGTCCACGCTTGAAGTTTTAGTAAAGTACCCCACGGTTTCACCTTACCGACGGCCTTCTTCCACACGGTGGTGGGCGGTGGCACTCCCCTAGCCCTGCAGTGCAGGTGCGCCGTGCGGCCCCGCTCCGCGCTCGCATCCTGGGGCTCCGTCTCCCACGCCGGTGGCACTGCGAGAGGACCAGGCAGGTCAGAAGGAGGAAGCAACATGGCGGCAAGCACACAGACTCATTTGATAACAATTTGTGAAAATATTATTTTTTTTCTTTTATTT